AGGAAGGATTTTAATTCTCCTTTGTTAATGAAGCTTAGTTTGGCAGGATAGGAAATTCTTGGTGGAAGTTTCTTTTCTTTAAGAATGTCAAAGATTGGACCTCAGTCCCTTCTGGCTTATAAGGTTTCTGCTGAGAAGTCTGGTGAAATTCTGATAAGTCTTCCCTGGTAGGTAGTCTGTCTCTTCTATCTGCCTTTAGGGTTGTTTCCTTCATGCTCACATTGGGGAGATGGTTTATTATGTGTCTTGGGGATAATTCCTTGCAGGAATTTTCTTGCAGGAATCTCTTGTGTCTACATGGTTGCCCTTCTAGCAAGATAGGGGAAGTTTTCTTGGATGATATCTTGGAAGTCCCAGGGTGTTCTTACCCCTTCTCTCTCAGGAATGCCAATCAACCATGGATTTGGTCTCTTTACATATTCCAAACCTCTCATAGGCTTTACTCATTCTTCCTGAACCTTTTCTTGTTTTTGTCAGACTGGGTTAGTTTAGACATTCAGTTGTAACAATCATTCGGTTAATTTCATTGCTAACATTTATCAATCTCAGGCTCTGAGATTCTTTCCTCTGCCTCGTCTATTCTGTTGTTGAGGCTTGCTTTTTTTTTTTTTTTTTAAATTCCAGGAAAGAATTATTCATTTCTGAGAGTTCGGATTGGTCCTTTCTTATTATGTCCAGCTCAGGTTTTACTTCCTCCACAAAAATTACACAGACATTATAAATCAAGTTAAATTACAGCCTGTAAACTGTTATTTCATTGTAGGTTTTATAGATATATTGAAAGTTATTTCAAATTAGATAATAGCACATATGGTGTGGGTTTTTCCCACCACCCCTGAAGAAACATTGGAACTAATTAACATAGATGCAGCATACATTATTATCTGAAAATTATTGTCTGAGGTTAATTTCACTGCTAATATTGTTTGTTTTGCACAAGCAATTTAAATTGTATGTAGTTGTCCTTATAAAAAGAGAGTGATACGCAGAATTTGAAAGATACCCTCTCCTTCCAGATTCCTGCCTCCTAGTTATTCAGTCAAACACAAATCTAGGTACTGCTGTGAAGGGGCCTTGCAGATGGAATTAAGGTACTAATCATTTGACGTTAATATGGGGATATTATCCTGGATTATCTGAGAGAGTCCAAAGTAATCGCATGAGCCTGTAAAAGCAGAAGAGAAAGACAGAAGAGAGATTCCAACTATGAGGAGGACTTGAAACTCCTTTGCTGTTATTGAGATGTAAGGGCCTACCTACTAGGACTGGATAGAGACCTCTAGAAGCTAAGGGCAGCCACAGTTGATGGCCATCAAGGAAACAGACCTCAGGTTAACAGTCTGAATGAGCTTGGACATAGATTCTTTATCCAAAGTCTCCAGCAAAGAACACATCTCTACTGCTACCTTGGTTTTAGGAAAATGAGATCTATATTGGACTTCTAACCTACTGATCTAAGAGCTAATAAACTGGCATTGTTTTAAATCACTATGTTTGTGGTCATTTGTTTTGGCAGCAATAGACAACTAATTCATAGGAAAAAGTGTCAAAGTTCAAAGAGTATGTCTGCTGTTACAACCAGCAGAAGACAAAATGTAACTGTAAGAGGAATGCAAAATATAAGGAGGTGCAGCAATTGGAGAAGGAAGCTGGAGAAGACAAAAGTAGAGAAAGGACTAAGGATTACCGCATTATCTATAATTGACTTTGAAAGAGTTTTATTTTTGTATGTTTTGTTTTTAAAATGGGAAAGATTTGAACATTTCTAAAGGCTGAAAAGAAAATTCAGTAGAAAAGGAGAGCTCGGAGATAGTGAGGAAAGAAGGAAGAGGCAAAACTCTGAAGAGGTGAAAGCGGATCGGATACAGAGAACGGGTGGAGGAATTAGCATGGGAAAAAAAGAAACATATCTTCCTTTAAAACAGAAGAAAGAAAAGATGAATCCCAGACCAGATTGGTTTGTAAGTAGAGTGGCAAGTAGATGAGAAAGCTCTTATCTGGTAGATTCTACTAGCATCTGAAGTAGGAGATCAGGTCAGCTACTGAAAGTGGCAAGAAAGTGGAGTCACATGTTTGATGAGAGTGGAGGATGCTTGACATCATTTCTGTGGACAGTGGAAAAGAACTCCTAAGGAAGAATGAAACGATGGCTAGGTGGCACTGTAGCCCCAGGAGGTTGGAACTCAAGAATGATTGGTGACCCCATCCATGGGGCTGGGAGATTTTCTCTGTGGGTTGATCAGCCATAGGAGTGTGGGTGTAATAAATGCAGGCAGTTGGAGTCACACAGTGGTAAAGTGTCTTCCCTGGCACGTGCAGTGATATGAAGCCATGAAGGACTGTGGAAATGCTGATTGAGGTCACAGGCCACCAATTCTAAACTGAGTAAGAAAGAAAGCAGAGCCCATAGGGAAATGACGAGTTAGAAGTGGCAAGAGGCTGACTATCCCTCTCATTTCCAATTGCTGTAGAAGTCATACAATTTTCCTGGCAAATTTTCTTACCATTAATGTATCACAGTGCCTGCCTGACTGGTCTTTCTTATCAGAAAAACCAGTTTCATCCTTAAGAGGACAGACAGTTTTAAAGTACTACCCTTAATGAGAGCCTACTTTTCTCATTAGTGGCTGTGGTCAGGATATAATTTATAATTTATTTTCTTCCCTCTCCCATGGGCCTTCTAGGATTTCTAATGATAACTATAGCTTACGTTTTTAAACGGTTACTGTGTACCAGGCACAGTGTAAAATGCTTTATAGGCATTGTGTCATTTTAACCTCATTAAAACAAAACAAAGCAAAACTGAGTTCTTTAAAAAATCTTACTGATGATGTCATTGAGATGTCTAGAGGTAAAGGTACTTGTTCAAGTTCTGAGTATCACATAGTGTCGAACCTGAGCCCAGACACTGGATGGTCTGATTCAGTAGTACATACTCTTTGCCATAAGGCCATATTGTGGGTTCAAATGATACAGAGATAAAGGACAGGTCAATATGTAACTATTAACCGGATAATGTATCAATGAGTGATGACAAAGAGATTGCAGTGACAAAAGCTTCCTGTCCACGCCAATGTAAATCTATTAAAAGTACTTTTCTTGCTGGGCTCGGTGGCTCAGCCTGTAATCCTGTGCCTTTGGGAGGCTGAGGTGAGTGGATTGCCTGGGCAGCGGGACCTCATCTCTACAATAAATCAAAAAATCAGCCGGGCATGGTAGCACTCCTGTAGTTCCAGCTACTTGGAGGCTGAGGTGGAAGGATCGCCGGAGCCCAGCAGGTCGAGGCTGAGGTGGCCGGGAGCGGCCACTGCACTCCACTCTGGGCGACAGAGTGAGACTCCAACATTAAAAAAAAAAGAACTTTTCTTCCTTTTTTTCTCAATCCTTCAGAGGGAATTTGATATTAAATCTACAGGTTTGTTCATATTTTGAAAATTAGTAGTGATTTCCAAAAAGATAATAAATTAGTTAAGTTGTTATTGGGTGCTAATTTTGAGGTAAAAAGAAAGGAAAAATACAAGAAAGTCTTGATGAACCTAATTTTCCCACAGAATGGAATCTAATTGTAGGAATTATTAGGGCAATTGTATGTTGGGAGATTTGAATGTAGAAGAGTGTATAGGAAGAAGTAGTAACACTTGTGAATTAACTGATGAAAGGACATATATTAAAATATAATTCTAAACCATCGTCTGGTACCAAAATTTAAAAAATTATTAAAACAAATTGAGGCTGGGTGCGGTGGCCCATGTTTCTAATCCTAGCACTTTGGGAGGCCAAGGCGGGAGGGTTGCTTGAGTGCAGGAGTTTGAGACCAGCCTAGGCAACATAGTGAGACCTTGACTCTATAGAAAATCAAAAAATTAACCAGGTGTGTTGGCATGTGCCGTTAGTCTCAGCTACTGGGGAGGCTGAGGAAGAATTGCCTGAGCCCAGGAGTTGGAGGCATGTTCTCTAGCCTAAATGACAGAAAGAGACTCTGACTCAAAACAAAAACAAAAACAAAGCAGATTGGTGCATAGTTGGCTTTGATTTATTCTCAACTAAGTCATTTAGTTACTAGTTCCTTTAAACTCAAAATCTGGTCTCTCATGAGAACCTTGTTAGAAATGCAGATTCTCAGACTTCAACCCAGACCTACTGAAGAAAAATCCACATTTTAACAGGATTCCTGAGTGGTTCGTATGCACACTGATATTTCAGAAGCACTCCACAGTTCATCCTATTCGTTCAACTTTATGAGATATACTAATATATTAACTAAGTGCGAATTCACAATCATTTCACTTATTAAAAAGAATTTTAAATACATAATTATTTTTAATTCTCTCATTAATGTATAGGAATTGTATTTGTTTATCAGTTAATAAGACAATTGAAGAACAGCTATCTTATTTTCCAAATTTCTTGGAATTATATAATTTGACCATTTATTCACAAATAAAAAGCTCTTCTTCAGAATATGTTTATAGTAATTTATTCTCATGCATGCCTAGAGAGTAGTATTTGGAAGGATTAAATAAAGAAACTGTACAGTCTCTTAAATTCCAAAACTTCCCCTAATAACAGGGATTTTTTTTAAATCTGGCACTGAAAGATTCATGGAAAATGGGTAAGATAGTTACTTGAGAGTGACCAAATTCATTGTCAAGGATCTTAACTGGGGCCCAGCATGATGAAAATTGAATCTATTTCCAAATCATTAAATGCCAGCTCCCAATAGGTCTGTCAGTATGAGCAGGAACATCAGCCTGGTACATCGGTTTTTCCATTGAAAAGAGAAATCAGTGACTGTTCAAAAATCATGTACCATCACCCTACAGTTTGTTGAATATATTAAACTGTCTCCTCTTGGTATGGCAGACTCTGACATTTATAAAGCAAGGTGTTTCCATTTCCTGTTAATCCAAATTAGACTTAAAATTCAGTCAACTTCAAATCTGTTTTATAACCGATTCCAAGATATCATGCATGTTTATATGTGATGTTTGATATTTTAGATCTTTGGATACTTCTCCTCTGAAGAAGATTCTCTAGCTTCCCAGATAGATGAAGAAAATTTGGTTTTCCTTGTGTCTAGGAAAGAGCGAATTGTCATTTCAGGTGATATCTTTTAATTTCCCTTCTAAATTAGTATGGGTTTTAATATTTCTCTCAAGAATAAATATTAGGAATATAATATTTCCATAGAATATTTTTTAATTAGGCCGGCCTCATTGGCTCACGCCTATAATCCTAGCACTTTGGGAGGCTGAGGTGATAGAATTGCTTGAGCCCATGGGTTTGAGATCAACCTGGGAAACTTGGTGAGACTCCATCTCTATAATAAATCAAAAAATTAGCCAAGCGTGGTGATGTGTGCCTGTAGTTCCAGCTACTTGGAAGGCTGAGGTGGAAGGATCACCTAAGTCCAGCAGGTCAAGGCTGAAGTGGCCATGAGCATGCCACTGCCCTCCAGCCTGAGTGACAGAGTGAGACTCTTACTCAAAAAAATTTTAACTTAATTTTTAAAATATATTATTTTATTTTATTTACTTGCTCAATACTTTATAATTGGGGGTGGGAGTCATAGTTTTGAGGTAGGGTAGTTAGTGTAGGTTAGATAGATAAATTTCTTATAGACAGTTTTTAGTTTAAAATAAATAAATGTCCAAAAATCTTTTCTGCAGGCCAGGCTGGAATGTGGACCCTCCAGTCCACTCTATCCCCTCAGTTCATTCAAAAGCCCGTCAAGATGTAAAAATCGTACAACCTGACCTTTCAGTTCATGTTTTAGCATAATAATTACTAAAAACCCTTCAAGTTCTCTGATGAAGGTAAAAGACTCAATCCCATCCCTTAGCTTATCAGAGGTGTAAAAATATTAATCAGACCACCTATAAGCTCATAGTCACAGAGTCTGGCTAGTCAGCCTATCAAAGCAAAGTGCATTTTTTAGGAAAAGACTACCCATCAGAGGTGGAGAGATCTCTCCATAGCAGATATCTGTAGCCCATCCTCTTTAGTATGTCAATTATTATGAAAATATATCAAGCTTTTAGTCAAGAGCAAAAGCACAGTTTTTCTTTTTCAAGAGACCTGCCCATGCCAGGTCCCTGACATGAATCTCTCTTTCCCTCTCTTTCTTTTATGAATAATTAAAAAAAAAAACAACTTTGCTGGCCCCTCTGAAATTCCTTTCAGTAGTAAGTCAAGAGCCCATGAATGCTGTGAAAACTCAACTCTACAAGCTTCATATGTAGTATCAGAAGAAATTCCACTATAGTTGGAATTGAAATATCATTGTTCTCAAGGACACTAAATAGGGAATATCAGGGGAAAAAAATTCACATTTTCCTGAAAAGCTCAGACCTCCAGTTAATCTTCTCTACAGTAGTACCTTGATAATGCATGCTCAAGTACCAAATGAAATCATATTTCTTTTAAAATATTTTTATTTTGATGTATTTTAAAAAATAATAATAGCTTGTATTTATTGAGCACCAAAATTGCTTGACAAGATGCTGGACATTTCACATATATTCTTGGTTTTACAACCACCCCATAAGATATAGAAATTTTATACCATTATTGCTATACAAATGAGGCAGCTGAGGCTCTGCGAGTGGGTACCTTAATTAGACTCTTACAGCTAGTAAATGGCAGTCAGACTTTCAGCTCTTTTTTTTTTTTTTTTTGCATTTTATTCTTTTTTTAAAAAATCTTATTTCAATAGCTTCAGGGGTACAAAATGGTTGGTTACATGTCTGCTTTGTATAGTGGTGAAGAAATCTGGAGTTTAAGTGTTCCCATCACCCCTACTGGTGCACATTTTACCCAATAGGTGATTTTTCAGCCTTCTTCTTCTTCCCACACTCCCCCTTTGGAGTCTCCAATTTTTTTTTTTTAAGGAATTATGTTTTCTTAAAAATTTTTTTTGAGGCAAAGAAAGAAAAGTTTATATAAAAGTAAATTAAAGAGAGCAAGAGAAGGGAGAGAGAAGATTCACTTCCCCAAGGTGGGGGAGGCAAAATTTTTTAAAAAATAAAACAGGAATGTGTGTAGGAGAAGTTGGTTTGGGGATGGGAGCATGGTGTTAAATAGGTAAGTCAAGGAAGTCTCCACTGAAAAGGTGAAAAGGACCTGAAGGAGAGAACAGATAGTGGGGAGTGTAGTAAGAGATGAGGCTGGAGAGGCAACAGTGGGAGTGAGAACACCAGACACATGTATAGAGTCTGGTAGGCTCTGCAGGAGACTTCTGAGTGAGACAACAAGCTACAGAGGGTTAAAGATAGAGGAAAGGCGTGATGTGAGCTATACTTTATGTTGAAGTAAAGGGCGGAAGGAGTAGAAGCAGAAAGAATGATAGAGACCTGCAATAGGACCGTATTTCAATCTTTTTTTAATTACTGAACCCTCAGGAGCCCTTTAAGATATTTTTTTCCCTAATTGCCTTCCCCTCTACCCTATCCTGCTCCATGACATTTCAATACCTCAGATATTAATTATTAAGTGTATCTTATTATGTACCATATGTATATCTATTCTTTATATACAAAAATAGTAAGACTTATTCACATTCCCTTCAACAACTAACTTACAACCCTCTTGGGGACAATATATTATCTGTTGAGTGGCATCGGTGAGGGTGGTAATACTCGAGTATGAGATCTGTTTACCTGTCTTTCTTCCCGGAGAGTTTGCAATTATAAACATTAAACACCCTGGAAGAAATCCAATATATATGACATTATTTTTCAGTCCATGGTTATACAAAGATGAAAGTGTCTAGTGTTTTGTTTTTTTCCAAAATGCGCAAAGTTAAAAAAAAGTCTAAATGACATCATTGAAATAGTTTTGTTCTTTGATACTGAAAGCCCAAGATAGTATTAGGTTTTTATTATGTGTAAACTACAATGGTGACAGTTCAAAGAAAGGGTTCCCAAGAAATGTATCAAATCTCAAAATAGAAATGATTTCAAAAGATGTTTAGAAAACTCATTCTCTCACAAGTGTACATATTTTCTTTGGGAATTCATGTACCACATTTAGTTGGAAAATTCTATATAATCACATTAGTATTTCTGGGAATAATTAAAAAGGAACAGTTGCTGGTTTTTATGGTTTTATCCTGCTTTAATTTTTAGGTAACTTGGGGCTTTCTAACAAAAAGTTCATTGTTTTCTTTCTCTCCTCTTTAAAAAAAAAACTTAACAAATGAGTTTTAGGATCTTTACTGCTGGAAGTTGAAATGAGTATTATGCATTGACAGGTAGTAGAAGACGAGACGTGATTAAGTGCATTGTCAAGGTTCCTCAATTGGATTTACTAATAACAGCTACTCAGAAAGGAGTAATAACAGTCTTTAACAACCGGGTAATTTAAAAGCTTGGCTTCCTCCCTCCCTTGGTCCCTTCCTCCCCACCTTGCTTCTTCCCTCCCTTTCTTCCTTCCTTCTTCTCTGCCTATGTATCGGGTACAGTAGAAACCATAAACCATATTTCAGAGTTCCTCCAAAAAATAAAGCCAAATATTTAGTAATAAGGAGGTTGCTGAACCCTGTGACAATTTTTATGGTTGATAACTGCATCTGGCATGGTTCCTCAGGGTGTTATATTGAACCATGTGTCATTAACACAATTAAAAGATGATCCTGGATAATTTCTCAGCACTCACAAGCCAGTCAAGTAATTTTGTCATCATTCTACTAAGTAATAAAAGGTCCCATCGAGGACTTTGGGTTTGGAGGAAAAAATTCCATTGAATTCTAGCCCATCCATTTTACTAGCAATGGCATTAAATAAGGAACTTAATGAGCCACTTACACCTTTTTTCATCTCTTTTTTCACATTTGTAGAATGAGGACAATAGAACCAGTCCTCCCTCACAGGACTCTAGTGAAGGTCAACTGAGATAATGAATGTAGAAATACTTTATGAACAATAAATCCCCATATAAATGTAAGGCTCTGCTATTACCAGTGTCATTTCTCTCTATTTTTATAAGTTTTGGACTTTCATTTCCAAGATACAAGAGATTTTAATGGAATATATGATGATATATCCTACATATTATTTATATATGAAAACAAAAGGTGAATATTTGGTGTTAATTATTTTAAAAATCCCAATTATTAGTTAGTTTCCAACTAGAGACAAGCTTTCTTTTCATTTTGGAGTATAATTAGACTTTATTTTGTTTCTTTTCCTTTGATTTTAGATTCAGGAGATACACATGTGTGTTCGTTACATGGACATACTATGTAGTGGTAGGGATTGAGTCTCAGGTGCCCCATTCCACAGATAGTAAGCATTGTGCCCCATAGGTAGTTTCTGAATGCTAGCTCCCCTCCCCTCACCCCCCTAATTGGTATCCCCAGTGTCTATTCCTTCCATCATTGTGACCATTTAGCTCCCACGTGTGAGTAAGAACATGCAGTGTTTGATTTTCTGTTTCTGAGTCAGTTCACTTAGGATGATGATCTCGAGTTCCATCCATGGTGCTGCAAAGGACATTCTTTCATTCTTTTTTACGGCTGCATAGTATTTCGTGGTGTATGCATACCACATTTTCATTATCTACTGATTGGTTGATGGGCATTTAGGTTGATTCCACATCTTTGCAATTGCGAATTGTGCTGTGATGAACATGTAGGTGTGGGAGTCTTTTTTATGTAACAACTAGAGGCAAGCTTCATGCAAATAAAATATATTTGAAATAATCACCACAGGATTCAATTTTCCATTAGAAGTTACAGTCCTTCAGTAATCTGTAGCTCAGAGGGTCTTTCAGAAGGTGAAGTCACAGTCAGTCAGAAGTTTCCATCACAAAAGAGGGCTGTCTGGGCCCCAGGGGTGGGGCAGTAGAGGGTTCAGATTGTGGATGTGGAGTCCAGGTTCTGGCCCAACACTAACACTTACGATTGTGTATGTTATTTAATATGTCAGGGCCTTGGTTCCTTACTCAGAATCATAGAGTCTCCCTCCCAAGATAGTTGTGCCGTTTAAATGAGTTAATACTCACTTAGTGCTCAACCTCATTGGAAGTACTCAGGAATTGTTAGCAATTACTATTATGAACAAACGATGTGAAGACAAAAATACATTTGCCTCATTTAAATATAAGAACCTTCTCAACCTGTTTTTCTTTGGTACATTATTTCTCTTTTCTCTCTCTCTCTCTCTCTCTCTCTCTCTCTCTCTCTCTCTCTCTCTCTCTCTCTCTCTCTTTTACCATTATTTCCTCAAAAACAGAACTATTAATAAGATGGTACCTGAAAAGTAATGCAAGGAGGAAAATAATGATCTGCATAATAAAATCGCTTGGGATTATTTGAAATACATGAGGTGACATTATCACCCTTCCAGAGACTTTACTTATATGCACACACACAAAAGCTTATAGATGCACACATACATACTCACAAGCATGCAAACCTTCACACCTGTTTTTATAAGATAATACAGCTGGAGAGAAAATGTTGCTAAAAAATAATTACTTTAGAAGTTGGCACCCCAGGAATATGATTTTGATTATTGCAGGCCTTACAAATAAGATAACACATTGTGTGAGAAAAGTTAGAAATATAGGTCAAGGATTTTTTTGGTGATATAAACTGTAAATGTTATTAATAAAAATTCCTGCAAAAGCTAGATATGAAAAGTTTAGAATGTATTTATAAGAATTATGAAACTTTAAAGAAGCTGAGAGGACTTTAAACAAGTGACTTCTACTAAAGACCAATGTAGAGAAAGAGAAGCGGGAACCACAGGTGTTCTGTTCTGTTTCTCAACAACTTCCTTACAGCACTCATTTTTTTCCATTTAGAAATAAGTCCCTGGTTAGAAAAACCTTTTTGAACTCTTCAGATGAAAGACAGTCTGCGGGTAGCCATGACTAACAGCTTTAGTGATCTCTCTGATCTACTTTTTCTATTTCACATAATCCATTTCTTCTGGGCAGTTGTTTCCCAGATATTTCTTAAGATCATCTGAACATGCAAAAGAAACCAGGTCAGTGAAATACTTCAACTACTTACCTTCATCTTGGGTGCAATTACTATGCCTCAAGGGTATGAAAGGCTGCTCATATACATACTAGGACTCTGCATGGGACAAATCTACGATCCTTAGCTAGAATAGTACCCAGGGCATGATATTCACTTAACAGATTCTTATTACATAAAACAGGAGGCCCACTGGATAGAATGTCCTTTAAATCCCTTAACTTGGAGATATAACTTTCAAATGAAGCAATGCTATTATTTTCTCCATCTTTCTATATTCATACTGATTTATTTAGCATTCATTTAACTACTCCTGCCATTGCTGTTAATATTAATTTGCATTTCCACTTTTGGTATCAAATGTTGCTCCGCATAACTAAAGAATGTTGAGGTAGTTTGCATATAGAAAGAACACAATAATAAGTAAAACTCTTAAAAGCAAATTCACCAGATGAGCCAAGTATAAACCATACTCAAAGCAAATAGTGTGTATTATTCCACAGAGCCAGATGTTTTAGGAGAAGGACAGACAGGGAGGAGACTTAGGGTAGAATGGTCAGTGAGATTAAACCAAGGAGATACTGTGTTGTTTTAAGAGCCAGCATTGCCATCTTTACTCGTTGTGCCAACAAGGTTTCATTATTCTCTTCCTTTTTTTATAGATGAGAATTCAGACCAGCACCAATGTTACCGTAAGTACATTTCTAAAATATTTAATAAAATCAAAGAACTATGATAATAGTTCCTCCATAATTAGTCAAAGTCTCAATGATGTGCCTGCTATAAGATGTTTCATAGATTGTAAATTACTAAGCCTTTAGACCAGCTTATTGAAAGGGACGGGGCATGAAAAAAAAAAAAAACTCAGCAAAGAAGACTCAGGTCTTCCTTCCTGGGGTTAAATTGCTGTAGAGAATTGCTTAGAAACTGGTTACTCCTTGGACGTTACCATATAAAACCTTCTAAGGTTTACTGAGCATCCACTATCAAAGAATGTAAAATATGAACACAACCCAAGTTGTGAGAACCACAAGGAGGTAGCCAATAGAAATAATTTGAAAACACTTTATTTTAAACTTGAAAGCAACATTACAAATTCTGGTAAAATTTTATAATATAAATAATCCATATCACTAATCGGAATAGTAACACTGAGACGGATGTTGTAAAGCTACAATCATTCTTGCTTGTAGAATCCCATTATGGATTTATGAGAGGTGGGAGAATGCTTGATTTTTCACTGCTTGCATGCACTGAATACACTAAACTACAAAGAAGCGGGCCATGCTGCCTAGCAAAGGAGTCTGGATTTCTTTAATCCTCTCAACCTCCATTTCTTAAATTGAAAAAAAAAAAATCCATTGAAATTTATAGCTGGTTTTACAAAAGAGTTCGGGCAGGGCCTGAAATGTACATAGCACTCATAAAAGGGCGTTACTGTTTCTTTCAGCAGTATGTTTTGATATCACAGATCCTGGCCATGTCAGCTTGGTGTCTTTAGGCAAGACACAAGACAGACTCATTGACCTCAACTTACCACTGACCAGATCATCAATAAAGTGTTTTTGTTTTGTTTTGTTTTGTTTTAGCATGAGGGCAGGGCCAGAGGCTTAATCACTGTTCTAAATTTAGTCTTCCTGTGGTCTCACAGCAGTAAACATTGCACAAAGAAGCTTTGGCAGCTGCCTGGCGCTTCCAGGGAGCTGTTCCATCACTGGCTGAATCATTTTTCAGCTGATGGTGCTGAGAAACTCAGGGTAGAATGAAAAAGGGAAAAAGATCTCTCCTCAAGACATTCAAATGGGAGGCATTGCAAGCCTCTTCTACGAATAAGGCAGCAAAATGGGACTGTTAGTGTAACTACCCTACTCTTTAGTAACTATCACCATGTCATAAAATAAAATGTATTATATCTACCATCTATGCTTGTCTATTAGGATACCTCCTGGATTACAGGATGTGATTACCTCCCACAGCTGAAACGAATCGTAGCCACTACAGAAAGGACCATTATTGTCTGGGATTATAAAGCCCAGGGGAGCAGCCAGGTACAGTGCCAACAGAAATACTCAGAGAAGTGAGACTGTCTTTTCAGTACTGGTAGGATCTGAGCAATCCACTTTCTCTGTTAAGCATTGGTTTCTTCATATATAAAATGAGAGGGTTTAACTAAATACTATTTTAGATCAAGTTCAGCATTAATATTCTGTGATTAAAAGAGAATGTTCTTCAGTGTGTAGGAAAAAGGACTTTACAAAAAGAGAATGTTCTTTTCATTTAAAGTATATTTAATTTGAGGGATTTTATTTTGTTTTTGAGAAAGAGATCTAATTCTTCTCTTCTTTTTTCTTCCTTCTCTAAATTATCTTTCTGGGTATGCTCATGTTATCAAGTTAAAATTCTTTCTCTCAAGTTCAGCTTCATTAGGTAAGAAAATTACTAAAATAAATGCTTAATTCTGGCACAAAAAAAGAAATGTAATGAGATGACCCTTCAGCAAGTGACTGAGATGTAACTACTTAACCAATCTACAGTATTTATTGAGCATTTACAGACATTTAGAAGTAATGAACATGTTCTCCACACTCAAACAAAACTGAGTCTTGAAGTTTCTCATGAATAAACATAATATATACATGTGATATGATGGCAGAGCAAACTATACAGTACAAAGTAGCAAGTGTAGTAGGGGCTCAGGGAGAGCTGAGATCACTGAGCATTGGGGTTATTTTTTAAAATGTCTTTGTATACTGAGAGCAGTATGTCACACCTGTAATCCCAGCACTTTGGGAAGCCAAACCAGTAGGATTGCTTAAGCCCAGGAGTTCAAGATCAGCCTAGGCAACACAGTGAGACCTCTGTCTTTACAAAATAATTTTTAAAATTACCCGGTCATGGTGGTGTGTGCCTGTAGTACCAGCTACTCAGCAGGCAGAGGTGGAAGGATTGCCTGAATCCAGGAAGTCAAGGTTGTGGTAAGCCATGTTTGTGCTACTGCACTCCAGCCTGGGCGACAGAGTGAGACTCTGACTCAAAAAAAAAAGAAAGAAAAGTTAGCTGGCTTCCTGAAGGCTTTTTAAAAATTTATTAGTTTTTTAATTTTTTGGTATCAGGGTCTCACTCTGTCACCCAGGTAAAAGTACACAGTGACATCCTCATGGCTACCATACTTACTGTACTTTATTAGCAGGTGTTGTGTTACTGTCTTACAAGACCATGTTGTGTTAATTTCCAAAACCCTAAATGCCAGTGTCCTAGACTTTGATGGTAACTTTTCTCCTTCTAACTCTCTCCTGTTTTTACTCTTGCTTTTCAAACCCATAGAAGCCTCCCTTTCCTTGAAGACATCTTCTTCCAGTCTTTGCTTCCCCTCACTCTTTTCTTCTTTTCCAACCTGCATGCTCTGGTGTATCATCTGAGCTGGTCAGTCTCACCCTCCACTCTCTTCAACAGAGGTTTTTCAGCCTGGATAGGTGCTCTAACTCTTCTTTCCTCCTTCACAGTGGCTAAGCACGGAGGGAGATAAACATAAACCATGCTGTTTGGCTCATTACAAACTCAGGGTCTGCAGATTCAGCTGAATTCTCTTTCTTGTCCTTGCCGACTCACTCTCCCACTCCTCACAAGTATACCAATGTTTCAGTCTTCTTCTCAAGCCCTCTCCCTCCAAATGGACTTGCCTCTCTTTTCCTGAGGAAACTGAGTCTATAATCAGATTTGTCCTCTTTCAAATTCTGGCCCTTCCACCTACAGCTTTACCTAGAAACGTTCCTACTTCCTTCCTTTCTTGCTTGCTATCTGCAAAGACAAGCTATCCTTGCATCTTACATCCCCATTCCCTTCTGTCTTGGCCAGAAAAAAGGCTCCATAGACTTTTCCATCTTTTTTTTTTTTTTTTTTGCTGTTACTCTTCCTCTAGACTCAGTTCTCTCAACCTCCTCTTAATCTTCCTCTCAAAAATTCAGGTTGCAGATCAAAGTTACTTTTCCTTGCTGTGAGACCTAAAGTGACCTCTTCAGTCACTCTGTATCACAGCACTGTAATTTATTTTTTAAAGTGTACTCCCTGATATTCTGAAATGATCAGCTTTACTCATCTGTCTTCCCCCCACTAGATGTGTAGCTCCACAAAGTCAGAAAATCATTGTACAGTTTGCTAGGAATAGTTCTTGGCATATAGGAGGTGCTCAATAAATATTTGTTGACTGATTGAATGGATTTGTAGAGACTGAATTTTAGAAGAGCAATAAATGTGCAGCCTAGTGAACCTGTTCAATAATACAAAGTCAGTTTGACAAATGCTTGCTGAATATTTCTGGATAAACTTGGATGTTAGAATTTTTTTCTCCCGATGACCCTTGTAAAATAGTTGGGACTTTGTTATTTGATTTTTATGTTTACCAACCAGTTTCATGTCAATAGTCTGATACTATCTGAGTCTTTTAATGCTTCCTTTACTATTTTCTTATAAATCCAAAAAGAGCCATTTACAGTCAGACATCAGAAGATGTCATGACTTATTGAGACAGAAGTAAATTTACCCCATGAAACACCCAAAGGTGCACAATGTTGGGTTCATAGTGAGCGTTCGTCAACTTTTACTTGGCTAACTGGGTTTGTTTAGTTTTTTCCCCAAGTTTCCTTATCACTGTGGGAGTATTTAAAATGAGAAACATTAGAAAGTAAAACTTATATCAAATAGAAGGGGCAATATTTATTAAATAGAGCAAAGTAACAATTCATTAAAAGTATTCTTTTGTTTCTAGGAAAACTATTTTGTCATAAAGCCTATGGACCACTGTCTCCTGTGTGTGTGTGTGGTGCCTCTGGCTGAACAGCTCTGCCGAGACGACATCCTCTTAGGGGATGATGGGGGTTTTGTGAGTAGATTCACAGTCAATAGTGATGACTTTGGACTAAAGCAGGCAAAATTCCAAAAGAAATTACAAAATCAGGTCTTAGAGTCAAAGAACTTTAAAAGGTAAGGGTATTATATGGATAGTTCAATTGCTTTAATAATTAGTCATTGCTGGCCGGGCTTGGTGGCTCAGCCTGTAATCCCAGCACTTTGGGAGGCTGAGGCCAGTGGATTGCCTGAGCCCGCGGGTTCGAGACCCACCTGGGCAACTTGGTGAGACCTCGTCTCCACAATAAATTTTTTAAAAAGCTGGGTATGGTAGCACATGCCTGTAGTTCCAGCTACTTGGAGGGCTGAGGTGGAAGGATTGCAGGAGCCCAGCAGGTCGAGGCTGCAATAGCCGGGAGTGTGTCACTGCACTTCAGTCTGGGCAACAGAGTGAGACTCCAACTTAAAAAAAAAAAAATTAGTCATTGCCAGACCCAATGTTAGAGATCTTAGATACAAAACTGAATAAGGAATAACAGGAAAATTAGCAACTGAAATTTCTAATTTTAAGTTGCTGCTGACAACTAAAACTGATACTTAAGTGGATTGGAAAGTTAAATAAAAAAATTAAATTATGAAAAAACTGTAAAAGATATATGTGACTACTTATTAGCACTTGAATATGGGAAAAGATTCTAAACATAAAAGCAATGCATATAGAATTCAAAGAAAAAGTTAATAAATATGACTATATATAAAATAAAACTTTCTGGACACCAAAAGATAACATTTAAAAAGTGAATAACAAACTAGAGTAAACATTTTTGACAAATATGACAGTGGGTTGATACTTTGTAATAGGTCTTAGAATTCAATTAAAATAAGAATCCTTCAAGAGAAAAATGAACAGATAATTTACATACAAGATAATTTACATGGTACAAATGGTCAATAAATATTTCAAAGTGATTATTTGACAAAAATGCTAATAACAGTTATCTCCAGCTGATGATTATTATCTTCCTTAAAATAGCAAGGTCTCTGAAGTTTTTAGAGGAAGGTATATGTTGCTTTTATAAGCAGAAAACACATTCTGTATTAAATGTATCTTCCTTATTAATCAAAAAAATATGATGTAAAATCAGATACAATTTTTTACTTATAAAATTGAAACAAAATTAAAAATGGGGAAGATGCTGTGAGATGGACATTCTTCACATACTGTTGGTAGTAGAAGTATGGGTTTGATCTGCTTTTCTGGAAAGCAATTTGGGAAAATGCATCTAGTGTCTTCATAAACATTTATATATGTGGGACCTGTAACTTCAAAAATATAAGTGGGGTCCTCACAGCAGTATTTCTAATGATAAATTATACAGTGTCCAACCACAGGAGAATGATTCATTTAAATGAGTAGTCACTTACATAGATAATTCAGATATATAAATATATGAGGGGAATCCCCCCAAAAACAGAGTTATCTTTTAGAGGGCAAACCCCTTGTAGTACACATGAAATTTGTTCCTCCAGATTAAACAGTCAACTAAAATTTTTATCTGGAAGTTTTGAGAAGGTTGCATCATGATTTGTGGAAGAAACATCCCCAGTTGTGGTAAACAGGTATTTGGTTCTTCCACCATGACAATGTACCTACCCACACCATGCTGAGTATTCAGCAATTTTTACCAAAAATGGCATGTTCCTCATGCACCACCCTCCTTATTCACCTGATCTTGTACGAGCAACTTTTTGTTTCCCTGAATGAAAAAAATCCTCAAAGGGAAATGTTTTTGCCGATGTGGAAGAAGTGAAACAAAAGATGACAGAAGCACCAAATAGCATGCAAATTGATGACTTTAAAAACTGTTTTGAGCAGTAGAAAAAACTCAGTAGGTGTATTGCATCCAACAGAGAATACTTTGAAGGTGACTAAAATTTAAACGTAAGAAAAAATACACAATTTTTTGTAGATACATTTTATTTTGGGGGGTCCCCTCTCATATAATATAAATGAGATATATATAATGTGTGTATATATGATAGGTTTTTTTCATCAGACAGATAAAAATATTAAAGTTTCAAGGATGTTTAATAAATCATAGTATAACTACATTAGGTAATGTCATGCACTCATTAATTATGTTTTGAAAAATAATAATATGAAAAATGTTTGTGACCCAAGCCAGGTAAAGACCCAACAAAGAAAGAGAACTACAGGCCAATATCTTTGATGAACATAGATGCTAAAATTCTCAACAAGATCCTAGCGAACCGGATTCAATAACACATCTCAAAAATCATCCATCATGACCAAGTAGGCTTCATCCCTGGGATGCAAGGCTGGTTCAACATTCGTAAAACCATAAATGTAATTAAATACATCAACAGATGTCAAAACAAAAACCACATAATCATTAGATGCAGAAAAAGCTTTTGGTAAAATCCAGCACCCTTCTTGATAAAAAAACCTCGAAAACCTAGGCATATGGGGAACATACCTCAAAATAGTAAAAGTCATCTACAAGAAACCCACAGCCAGCATACTCCTAAATGGACAAAAACTAGAACCATTTCCCCTGAAAACGAGAACAAGACAAGGATGCCACTTGTCTTACCCCTCCTGTTCAATATAGTATTGGAAGTCCTGGCTAGAGCAATCAGAGAAGAGAAGGCAATCAGAGGTATTCAAATAGGAAAAGAGGAAGTCAAGCTATCTCTCTTTGCAGATGACATGATTGTATACCTTGAAAACTCAAGAGAATCTGTCAAAAACCTCTGTACACTGATAAAGGACTTTGGTAAAATCTCAGGATATAAAATAAATGTGCAAAAGACAATCACATTTCTTTACACCAATAATAAACAAGCAGAAACTCAAATAAAAACCACAATCCCATTCACAATAGCCACAAAAAAAATGAAATTCCTTGGCATCTTCCTAACCAGAAGTGTGAAAGACCTTTACAATGAAAACTACAAAACACTGCTCAAAGAAATCAAAGTTGACACAAACAAGTGGAAAAATATCCCATGCTCATGAATTGGAAGAATCAACATTGTGAAGATGTCCATCTTACCTAAGGCGATCTAAAGATTTAATGCAATACCCATCAAATTACCAGCAACATTCTTCTCAGACCTAGAAAAAGCAACACAGGAATTCATATGGAAACACAAACGACCAAGAATAGCCAGAACAATCCTCAGCAAAAAAAAAAACACAAAGCAGGTGGTATCACATTACCAGACATCAAACTTTACTATAAAACTACAATCATCAAAACAGCTTGGTATTGATACAGGAACAGGCATATAGACCAATGGAATAGAATTGAGATTCCAGAAGTAAAACCTCAATTTCTCAACCAACTCATCTTCGACAAAGCCTCCACCATATACCACTAGGGAGAGGAGAACCTATTCAGTAAATAGTGCTGGGAAAACTGGCTGACCACATGCAGAAGATTGAAGCAGGACCCCTATCTATCCCCATACACAAAAATTAACTCTAAATGGATCAGAGACCTAAGTGTAAAACCTCAAACCATAAGAACCTTAGAAAATGAAGGACATACCCTCATGGAAATTGGAGCTGGCATCCAATTCCTGAACAAAACCCGAAACCCACAGGCCATAAGAGATAAGATAGACAAGTGGGACCTCATTAAACTGACAAGCTTCTGCAAAGCCAAAGAAACCATCAAGAGAGCAGGGAGACAGCCTACAGACTGGGAAAAAGCATTTGCCAACTCCAGGTCTGACAAAGGCTTAACATCTTGGATCTACAAGGAACTCAAACATGCTGAAAAGAAAAAAACAAACAACCCCATTATAAAGTGGACAAAAGATATGAACAGACACTTCTCAAAGGAAGACATCCGAGCAGCCAACAAACACATGAAAAAATGTTCAACCTCACTAATCATCAGGGAGATGCAAATCAAAACCACACTGAGATACCACCTAACTCCAGTCAGAATGGCAATTATCAATAACTCAAAAAATAATAGTTGCTGGAGAGGGTGTTCCAAAAAGGGAATACTTCTACACTGTTGGTGCGAGTGCAAACTAGTGCAACCTCTGTGGAAAACAGTATGGCGATTCCTAAAAGCTCTAAATATTGACCTCCCATATGACCCCGCAATCCCCCTACTGGGAATATACCCTGAAGAACTCAAATCACTCTATAAAAAAGATACCTGTACACGCATGTTTATCACAGCATTGTTCACAATAGCAAGAACCTGGAAGCAACCATGCTGTCCATCCAAAGAGGACTGGATTAAAAAAATGTGGTACATATACACGATGGAATACTACACAGCCATATAAAAGAACAAAATCATGAATTTTGCAGCAACCTGAATGGAATTAGAGTCTATAATACTGAGTGATCTCTCACAGAGGCAAAGATCTGAGTATCACATGTTCTCACTCATATAGTGGACCTTGAACATCCAACATAATACTATAAGAAAATGACTGACAGTGGTGGGAAACTATGAGGGTGGGAGGGGAAGGGAGATGGGATTAATGGTAGTAAATATTTGGGGACAGGGAGACACCTCTTATCAACAAGAGTGCCTGAACAGAGCATATTTGTATACCTAACCCTTAACTGTACCCCACAATGGAAAAATAAATAAATAAATAAATAATTTTTTTAAAAAAGAAAAATGTTTGTGGTATAATGTCAAGTAAAAAATTATTTTCCTGTGGACACATAAATCCAATTTTATAAACACATATGTGTGTGTATGTATTTCTACTTAGAAAAATAGTATAAATATCCAAAATATTAATAATAATTTCTATAGAACCTCAGAGAAGTGAGTTTTATTTTCTATTTTATGTTTCTTTCTAAAAATACTTTCTAAATTACAGTACAATGAATATTTTTCCTTTATAGTTAAAAAAAAGTTTTAAAAAATAGGATTGTACTTTGTTATAAATGTAGCAAATATTTTTTCCCAGAGTTAGAATATGCAGTTAGAAGCTCATTACAACTGTTTACTACATGGGATTAAGACTAGCCTCATTACTGGAACTCAAAGAATGACATAAAAAAATTAACTGGTTCCATTTTTCACTCTTTAGATATGAACGGTATTACTTGCTCTCACCAAAGAATTAGACCTTTAAGGGACTTTCCCAGTATGTGATATGTTGCTCTTTGCAGTAGTATTTCATTCCAATTATCATAGGCTTTTAGAATAGATGCTGAGACATGATTCTTCTCTTCATGAGATAAATGTGAGTCACCAGTCAAAAAATTCCATGGCTTGTTTTTCAATTCCTATTTTCATCTGAAAGATATGTCAGTAATGAGATTTGGGAATCTGAGGAATTTGAGGAACCTGGGTACAGTTAAATGAAGGCTAATTCATATTAGTTTATGTGTGTTATGATATACACGTAGATGATATAATCATACGACTGATGTGTTATATAGGTTGAGTGTTGAGACATTTTCTTATACCAAGAGATCTATAAACCTGACAGAATGTAAAGTATTAAAGCCAGTGGAGCTATTATATCTTGCTGCTGACATCCACAGAATTCATTCATGTTGAATGAGTAGGGTACAGGTAGCAAACACTGATAAGCAAAGTATCATACAAATTAAAGAAAGAAGTTGCCAGCATCCAAAGTTCGTCATTAAACACAATCTAGCATGGAAATAGAAATATCCCTCTCTACTCTGTTGAGTGCCAAAGTGTAAAATTTTGATGCCTTGAGCTATAAACATGTCTACTTGTCAACTAGAAGCTAAGCAACTTGGTGACAAGAATTTTACCTTAATCTTTCTTATGTTCTTGGTACATGAAATATAGTAGGTGCTCAATAAATGTTTGTGACTAAGTAGACAAATGAGCCATTAAATATGAGTAAACATAATACCCTGAAGACAGCTTATTCTGGATTAAGACAAGAATTTTGAGGCAGAGGTTTTGGTTCTAACCCTAAGCCTCTCACTCAAATGTTTTGTGAACATATAGGTAACCCTCTGACAAGAAATATGATGACTCTTCAAGTCTTAGCTTTGGCAGTGCTCTGGGATTACAAATTTCTCAGTTCTTCAGTTTTTAAAGTATTAATGGAAAATACAAATATGTATTTCAAATTAAATGATTCACATAAGATATAAAAGTATATGAAGCATAATGCTCTATTTGGATGATCAGAACTAAGTTTTTAGTAAAGATAAAAGTGCCAATATTGGACTTGGATAAAAATGTCAGTATTGGATTGGGTTTCTAGACTATTCTTTTAATTCTAGATTTATAGCTCAAAATTTGATGACAGCATTTTAAAGTTTTTTTTTATTTTAAACATGCTTGGTTGTGAACATTTAGTAAAACAGTTATAAGTGGTATAATGGATAGTCTATATTATATATGCTGATGTAACACAATTTAGAGTTATAATTCTGCTAAGATAAAAATAAAATGTCAAATAGAAACTTAACATTATGTGTTTGTGTGTCTAACATAAATCCCTCCCCTATTTTTAAATTTCCAGCGTTAAAAGAAAGCTACATAATGACTGGGTTATGAAAATTAGATATATTCCAGCCCTAAATTGCTTTGGCTCCTGCTCCTTAGACAGTGTTCATTCATTGATTTTGGACTCCCTGAAGAGACTCGAGGATAATTTGTAAGTACAATAGTTTATATGCATGAACATTCTGTGATGTTCAAACTTTTTACAATGATAAGCCCATGGCAGCCTTGGAACTTTCAAGCTGGTTTTTAAAAAACTCCTATGTTAACTATTCAATGTTTTTGGCAAGGTTAGAGTTTTCAGGAAAGAAGTCACTCATGCAATATGTTCTCCTGACAGCAACTTTGTGCATTTGTTGTTTATTGTTGCAATCTAATGAAATTAATCAATACAGGTGCATCTATAATATATTTTCAAAATATAGTTTTGTTGGTGAAACTTTTGAAATCACTCTTCCAGGTCAGTTGACTAGCCAATAGTCTGTGAGTATAATCTGTAGAACAATCATCATGTTTCATGTGTAATACCCAAGATGGCATGTTTATAGAAGGTGAATCTGAATAGTGTTCATTCTTGTTTTTGATCTGCTTAGATATTTATTAATAACTAATTAATTTATTAATAGAAAACAGCTATTGTCTTTTAATTTTTTCATTTTAAAAATTCATTGACCCCTGAATTGTACCCCACATCTTTAAAATGAGAAATTAAAAAGAAAAAACAAAAGTAAGTGCTTTGACATAAATGCTACAACATGGATAAATGTCAAAAACATTAAGCTGACTGACAGGAGTCAGACAAAAAGATTATATGTAGTATGATTCCATTTATATGAAATATCCAAACAATGTAAATTTATGGGGACAGAAACCGCAGTGGCTACCTAGGACTAGTGGTAGGAGCAGGGTTCCCAAAGGAGGGTACAAGTGAAATTTCTAGGGTGATAAAAAATTTCTAGGGTGATAAAAAGGAGCAGGGTTCCCAAAGGAGGGTACAAGTGAAATTTCTAGGGTGATAAACTTCTTGTGATGATTGTTGAGTTTTACACAACTCTATAAATTTGCTTAAAGATCATTGACTTATACATTTTCAATGAGGAAATGTTATGGGATATAAATTTTGTATCTTTTAAGGTACTGTATACCTTGATAAAGATGTCTTAGAAAAATGCATCGAGACTTCCGGTTTTTAGTCTGGCAAGCAAGCAAGGTGCTTAGAAGTTCTCATCCCATCCTAACAATAAGTTAAAAAAAAAAAGGAACAAACTGAAAAATAAACAACTTTCCTTAGACCCATCATAGAAGTAAGATGACAGGGAGATTTTCTTTCCCCCAAATTGAAGAGACAGGTAAATACTGAGAATCACAACTTGGACCACAGGGATATCCATGAGCAGAAACCTCCAAAGTCACCAGCACCAGGGCAGGAAAAACTCAGCTGTAATTGACAAATTTCTAGATACTCAACATGGGCAACAGTGAGAGTTAAAAATTCAGGGGGACCCAGTCATTAGGGATCTTCCCGATTTTATGTTTTACTTCCAGGAGTTCAACTGAGTTTTTACAGTGAGTATCAGTGAAAAAATCCCCTCTTGCTTCTGGTAGAGGGAAAGGAAAAGAACTGTTTTGAAATATAATAGAACATATTGTTCTTACCAAAGCCTGCCCTCAAGAGAAATTATTTTGCCAGGACCTAAACTACTGGATCTTTGAAAGAGAATAACTAACCCAGGGAAAGAAAATAAACCACTTTAGCCCTCTGGCCCTACCTAAGACAGGGGCGTGAACAAAACTGAAGGATTTGTGAAGTTCACAGTTCAGAGATACAGGCTCACCAAAAGAATGAGATCTTATCACAGGACTATAAACCACTTCACCTTCCCCTACAGCTCACCACTTTACTGAAGGCCTATTTACAGTAGATCTATACTCAAAAATCATGTTCAGCTATTAGTAATAAATTAAAAGGTTTTTTTTAAAGTTGAAAGAGATAGAGCAAGCATCAGAACCAGAATCAGATATGGCAAGAAGATTTGAATGATCAGGCAGGGAATTTTTAAAAATTATGATTAATATACTAAGGGAATGGATAGAGTAGACAGCATACAAGAACAGATGTAAGCAGAGAGATGGAAATTCTAAGAAATAATAACCATGAAGAAATGCTAACAATCAAAAACAGAAACAGAAATGAAAAATGCCGGACTCATTTGTAGACTAGACTCAGGAAAGAATTTCTGAGCTGAGGATATGTTAATAGAAACTTTGAAAACAAAAAAGAAAAATAACTGGAAAAAAAAGCAGAATATCAAAACACTATGGGACAACTGCAAAAGGTATAATATACATGTAATGGAAACAACAGAAAAGGGAAGAGGGGGAAAAAAAAAACTATTTGGAGCAATGACTAAGAATTTCCCCAAATTAAAATTAAACACCAAACCCTAGATCCAGCCATCTTAGAGACACCAAGAAGGAAAAATGCCAAAAGACACCTTGACATAACATATTTAAAAGCAGAAAATCAGATGAAGAAAAACTTTGACAAAATCACAGGGGGAAAACACTGTGTTTACAGAAGAGCAAAGATAAGAATTATATCTGATTTCTCTTCGGAAATTTTACAAGCAAAGAGAGAGTGAAGTGAAGTTTAAAAAAAAAATACCCCACCAGACTAGAATTCTGTACACTGTGAAATTATCCTTTAAAAGTGAAAGAGAAATACAATTTTCTCAAACAAAAATTGAAAGAATTTGTTGCCAGTAGACTTGCCTTTCAAGAAATGTTCAAAGAAGTTCTTTGGAGAGAAGGAAAATATGTAGGTCAGAAACTCAGATCTATATAAGGAAACAAAGGACATCGGAAGAAGAAAAAGTAAAGGTAAAATAAAATTTTTGCTTGTGTTATTCTTAACTTATCGAACAGATAATTTGTTCAAAATAATAATGGCAAAATGTATATACTTATACTTGCTTATGTGTATTATATATTTTATATATACACATGTATATGAATATATGATATATCTGCTATGTGTACGTAAAATAAATACAGCAATAATACAAGGAATGGGAGAGAGGGAAAAATTAGAACTGCTATGTTATTATAAGGTATTTGCACTACCTGTGTAGTATAGTGTTGAAAGTGGACTTTGATTAGTTGTAAGTGTAAATTGCAAATGATAGGTCAATAACCCAAAAAAATGTCTTTTAAAAAAGTGATAATTGATATGCGGAGAAAATGGAATCATATAAAGTGTTCATTAAAAACACAAAAGCAGCCAAGTACAGTAGCTCATGCTTGTAATTCCAACACTTTGGGAGGCAAGGTGAGAGGATCACTTGAGCCCAGGTATTCCAGACCAGCTTAGGCAACACAGATGCCATCTCTACAAAAAAAAAAAAAAAATCACAAAATTAGCTGGGTGTAGTGAAGCATGCCTATAGTCTCAGCTACTCAGGAGGCTGAGGCAGGAGGATAGCTTTATTTCTAGACTGTGGTTAGCTGTGGTGATTGTGCCACTGCACTTAGCCAAGGCGACAGAGTAAGACTTCAACTTAAAAAAGAAAAAAAAAAAAAAAAAAGAACAAAGAAAAAGGAAAATGAATAGAAAACAGTAACAAATACTCAAGGTATAAAATAAATATGCAAAAGACAATTGCATTTTTACACATCAATAATAAACAGAAACCCAAATAAAAAGCACAATCCCATTCACAGTAGCCACAAAAAAAATGAATTACCTTGGCATCTTCCTAACCAGAGATGTGAAAGACCTTTACAATGAAAACTACAAAACATTGCTCAAAGAAATCAAAGATGACACAAATAAGTGGAAAAATATTCCATGCTCATGAATTGGAAGAGTCAACATTGTAAGATATCCATTCTACCTAAGGCAGTCTACAGATTTAACACAATACCCATCAAGTTACCAGCAGCGTTCTTCTCAGACCTGGAAACAACAATACAGGAATGTATATGGAAACATAAATGACCACGAATAGCAAAAACAATCCTCAGCAAAAAAAAAAAAAAAAAAAAAAAAAGCAAGTTATCACACTCCCAGACTTTAAACTTTATTTTAAAGCTACAATAATCAAAACAACCTGGTATTGGTACAAACACAGGCATATAGACCAATGGAACAGGATTGAGATTCCAGAAGCAAAACCTCAATTTCTTAACCACTCATCTTCAACAAAGTCTCCACCACCAACCACTGGGGAAAGGAGAACCTATTCAGTAAATGGTGTTGGAAAAACTGGCTGACCACATGCAGAAGACTAAAACAAGACCCTTACCTATTCCCGTACACAGAAGTCTACTCCAAATGGATCAAAGACTTAAACGTAAAACCTCAAACTATAAGAACCTTAGAAAATGCAGGAGACTCTTATGGAAATTGGAACTGGCAACCAGTTCCTGATCAAAACCCCAAGTGCCCATGCCATAAGAGATAAGATAGACAAGTGGGACCTCCTCAAACTGACAAGCTTCTGCAAAGCCAAAGAAACCATTGAGAGAGCAGGGAGACAGCCCACAGACTGAGAAAAAATATTTGCCAACTGTATTATCTGACAAAGGCCTAACATCAGGATCTACAAGGAACTCAAACATCTTGAAAAGAAAAAAACAAACAGCCCCATTACAAAGTAGGCAAAAGATATGAATACACATTTCTCAAAAGAAGACATATAAGCAGCCAACAGACGCATGAAAAAATGCTCAGCCTCACTAGTCATCAAAGAAATGCAAATTAAAATCATACTGAGAGACCACCTAACTCCAGTCAGGATGGTCATCATCAATAACTCAAAAAATAACGGTTGCTGGAGAGGATGTGGGAACACTTCTACACTGTTGGTGGGAGTGTAAACTAGTACAGCCTTTGTGGAAAACAGTGTGGCAATTCCTAAAAGTTCTAAAAATCAACCTTCCATATGACCCTGCAGTCCCCCTACTGAGAATATACCCGGAAGAACTCAAATCACTCTATAAAAAGGATACCTACACATGTATGTTTATCACAACATTGTTCACAGTAGCAAGAACATGAAACCAACTGTGCTGTCCATCAAAAGAGGACTGGATTAAAAAAATGTGGTACATATACACGATGGAATATTGCTCAGCCATAAAGAAGAGCAAAAT